AATATGACATAAGACTAGGTTAAGCACGGAGATCTTGATTGCTTTCCTGTCTGTATCAGTGTACCAGTTTAATAACCCAGCTATTCTTTCTAGAAAGTATTTACCTGGCCAAAACCCATACAAAACCAATGAATTAAAATGCAAATTTGTGGAATCCATATTTGCTAGTTAGAAGTAGCATGTACAATAGCAATCTAGCAGTCGGTAATAGTATTAGGTATGAGACTGACTGAAATTTTTCTAAATTCCCATAATCCTGGGTAAAAGTAGTGCTGCACAGGGAAGTAACAATGATATAATACAGAGAGCAGGCCAGTAATTCTGCAATGCTCTTTTTCCAAAGATGACAGAAGAGCGTAGAGGAACAGGGAGCTTTGTTTGCTGCAGTGGCATCTTAAGCTCTAAATTTTCATGTTTCTGAGAACAACTTCACATCTTAGAAGTAGCAAATGTGACATCACTACATCTAAACCAGAATTTTTTCCCCAGACAGCAGCTGTATGAGCTCTCGCTGCAATACATTAGAGTCATTTTAATATTAAAAGAGAAACTTTACTTTGAAGTGACCAGTTTAAAGCATCACAAAAAAAATTTGCAGCTAAAGTAGCTTCTAACCCAGAGACTCCAGTTTCACCCAAGCATTTGGTTTGCAGGGGCCGCTAAGCCCCATGTTGAAAACCTGCTGTAGGAGAAGCTGCAGTCCCTGCTGCATTCCAAATAAGAGATTTTTCCTGTGATGATGCCATTTCAGTAACAGAAATTGACAGAGCAGATGATGTCTTGCTGTCTGTCACACTGAAGGCTGTAATTGAACAGCACAGTATTCTTACCCAAATGCAGTGGAAAATGCTATTTGTGCAGACAAGGTTTTTTTCAAGCCAAAAGCTGTATGTCAGAAAACCAGTTACAAATGAACACTCGGTGCACATTTTGGCTTATGTGCCTGTGCAAGAATACTATTCCCACAACACTGCAAGAGACAATAATTTGAATTTTAAAGCACTTCAATAGGAAAATTGTTAAATCTAGTATATCAGGGATATTTCTGAGCAATACAAGACCATGCAGCTACAAAACCACCATTCTACTTTCCACAGAACTGTCAGCTTTTCCAAGTAACACACTTTACCTGTTCTCCAGCCTTTGAATCAACAGTTTCTTCCAGATTGGTAGCTAGTGCATTTTCATTATTTAAAGTGACAGCAATTGAATCCAAATGTGCTGGACTCATCATTTCCTCTCTTATTCCACGGGCATTGTCCACAAATATACTTCCGTTAGGCTTATTTAAAGGTATTTTTTGAGGCAAAGACTCCAGCTGTCCATGGCCTGGGTTAAGTTTATAGTGCCTTGCTAATCCTCCTTTTCCTATATAGGATTTTTCACAAGTCTGACATTTAAACATTTTAGGTTTCAGATTATAATTTGAAGAACTGAATAACGCATCCTTTCCCTTCACCTTTCCTTCTTCATCATCTTCTATACTTAGCTCAGAGTAATCATCAGAATCGGACTGATGACCATCAGCCAAATCCTCCATTTTAATGAATTTATAATCTTTAGCCTTGTATTTGGGAGGGCGCGAAATCCGTCCGGAACGAGTTTTCACTTTCAAGGATTTTTTTAACTTGTCACCTTTTTGGTTTTTTTCAAGGCATGGTTTCGGAGTATTTGCTGAACTGGCTGCAACCATGGTAATATTTGAAGACCTCGTAGCTGATACTGTGGCACGGGTGGCTTTCTGTCCATTGAGCATCTTAGTTGAGGGAATCTTGTTCACAGACACCGATCCATGAGACGGTAAAGGTCTCTGCATAAGCAACTGAATTGGAGACTCGGAAGAACTATGTAGGAATAGCTGCTGCTGCTGCTCAGTTCCTGTAACAGGCTGTATCCTAATTATCTGGGGATTAATAATGCCAAGTCCTGATACGCTAGAATTCCTACCAACCGACTGACTCAGCGTTATAGTTTTGGACTGGACTGGTGCCAACGATGGCACTGGCCTTTCAGTTTCCTTCATCTGTCCTGGCTGAACTTGGACACAAATGGCTTCCAGCTGCTTTTGTGGAAAAAAGGAAGAGTTCAGATTACACAAATAACAGTATTTATAAATAAAGACAATACTTATAAAGATGATAACACACATGCCCTTAAAGCAAAGCACAAAGAAACCAATGCACATCATTAGATTTCCATTTTAATGCATCAAAGGACAGATTTAACATCAAAGCACAGATTCCCTTCCTCCAAGCTACGGGCTTTCCTGCACGTTTACTGATGTGACTGCTGTTCAACTAAAGCATGTAAAGTTTGCTCTTGGGCCATGTCACAGCTTTGTTTCCTGCCAGCAGGCCTGTTCTGGAACAGCAGTCAATGCCAGCACCCAGGCAGGTGTATAACCTTCAACAAACCAAGCGCAGAACTACAGTCTGCTAAATGACACAGGCCAAATACCAGGTCCAGGACATACTGTAATAACTGCTCGGTTCAAAAAAATCTTTGTGAGGATGATTAAGAGGAGGTACGTGTTACCATTCACCTCCCTTATAGCCTCTCCTCCTCATCCAAATTTCTGCCTCAGCTTGAGTCAATCACTTGACATCCCCTGCACCTCAAAAGGTGGGCAGAAAACCCAGGCACCATCACCTTCTGTAAGAGGGGCATGCGTTATCGACCTGGTGCATCACCTCTTAACCACTGCGAGACGGCCCCTCTAAGCTGGTTTAGCTGCACGTGTAGTCGGACCGAAATACCGACAGCTGCAGCTACTACCTACATCCGAACGCCGGTTTTCCTAAACCACGTTCAAAGTTGTGTCTTTCAGCTGCGAGACTCGAGTCTACACCCAAGGGTAGGTGTGACCGAGGAGGAAGGCGAAAAATCATTAAAAAATATTAACACACACACACACCCCCCTTCCCCGTCCTCGGCGGTGGATCGCGGCCAAACGGCCGCCGCAGGCTCCCTCCTTCCCTCCTCCTCCCCCCCTAGCCCCCGCCTCGCTTACCTTCTGCGGGAGGAGCCGGGCGGCCGCCATGGATTTGCCCTGCTGCAGGGCGACCTGCTGGGCTACGCTCTGCAGCTGCTGGGCGGCGTTGTGCATGATGCTGGCCAGCGGCGGGGCGGCCCTGCAGGCCTGCGGCGGCAGCGGGCCAGCGTCCCGGGGCGGCGGGCAACCTCCGCCGCGGCAGGGCGGCGGCCCCGGGCCGGGCTCCAGCTGGGCGGCTGC